CTCATGCGAGTCCCTTGGACTGCAAGGCGATCCAACCGGTCAGTCCTAGAGAAGATCAACCCTGACTGCTCTTTAGAAGGCCAGATCCTGAAGAGGAAACTCAAATACTTTGGCCACCTAAGGAGAAGGAAGGACTCCCTGGAGAAGAGCCTAATGCTGGGAGAGACTGAGGGCAAAAGAAGAACGGGACGGCAGAGAACGAGGTGGCTGGACGGAGTCCCTGAAGCAGTCGGCGTGAGCTTAAATGGACTCCAGAGGATGGTAGAGGACAGGAAGGCCTGGAGGAACATCGTCCATGGGGTTGCGATGGGTTGGACATCACTTCACAACTAACAACAACACTGAGATACCACTACTGTATATACCTCTGGGATGTTTTGTCTTTTTTAAAAAAGTACAACGTAGCTTTATGAAGATTATCACTTGCATGATAACAAACAGTAGACCAAGAGTTCCATCACATTCTAGTCTTTCCATTTTTCACATTCTAACATATATATTTTTTTTGCATAGAACAAGCAACGGGATTTTTTTTAAAAAAAAAGTCACGCACACACACACCCAAATCTCTAAACCACATCTGAATTTTAGCATTTGGGATGATTTCCCATTTCAGTCAATATTGAAGGTTGGGATAAAAGGACTTTCTTGATCACAAAGCTCATGAGGAATTTTGTTTTCGAAATCCTAAGGAACAAAGAATGTCAATAAGAAAAATGGAAGGAATTGTTGATTTTTTTTCCCATGGAGTCACTGTTTGCTTTCATCCAACGCGAATAAAGAAAATAGGTCCCACAATTTTTTTCCTCCCTGGATTTAAAACCGAACCCTGGTAACCATAAGATTTTGGAATCAACACCCTTCCTTTAATTTTATTCCTCCAAGATATCGATGGCATTAAGCTTGGGAAGTATAAAAAAATAGCCCAAATAATGCATGTAATACAGTGGTGGGTTTCAAATTTTTTTTACTACCAATTCTGTGGGTGTGACTTGGTGGGCGTGGCATGGCTTGGTGGGCATGGCTTGGTGGGCGTGGCAGGGGAAGGATGCTGTAAAATCTCCATTCCCACTCCACTCCATGGGAAGGTTACTGCAAAATCCCCATTTCCTCCCGATCAGTTGGGGACTCGGCAGGCAGAGAATAGATGGGGGTGGGGCCAGTCAGAGGTGGTATTTACCGGTTCTCTGAACTACTCAAAATTTCCGCTACCGGTTCTCCAGAACTGGTTAGAACCTGCTGAAACCCACCTCTGATGTAATACATCTTAATGAGATCGTGCTAACCCAGAGGTGTCAAACTCGATTTTATTGAGTGCTGCATCAGGGTTGTGTTTGACCTTGGGGGGGGGACAGGATGGGCATGGCCAGCTCGACATCATTCATGTTGGGGGTGCCTGTGGTGGCCCGATTCCTGAGCTCCATTTTTTGGCTACGATGGCCTTCTGCAACCCTCTGCCAGCGAAAACAGAGCTTGGGAGGGTCGCATGCAGCCCTCCCAAGCTCCATTTTCACTGGCAGAGGCACCACGGCCCAGTCCTTCACTGTTTTCAGGGTGGCCCCACCGGCCAGATCTAAGCACTCTGCAGGTTGGATCCAGCTCCTGGGCTTTGAGTTTGACATTCCTGTGCTAGCCCATTCACTTTTTAAAAGATGCTCTTTTTCAACCAATGGAAAACTTGCTTACAGTGGTACAGAAGAGACTATCAAGTCTGGAGGACAAAGATCAGAGAACTTTCTTTGTTCCATTTGGTGGTCAGTTTCAGATGACAGCTCAGATACGGCTGACCTCACCCTAGACTTCCATCACAATCTTTTTTTTTTTCATGGGTTTGAATGGGATTGCATCAGAGGTGGGTTTCAGCAGATTCTGATCAGTTCTGGAGAACCGGTAGTGGAAATTTTGAGTAGTTCGGAGAACGGTAAATACCACCTCTGACTTGCCCTGCCCTCATCTATTCTCTGCCTTCTGAGTCCCAGCTGATCGGGAGGAAATGGGGATTATTATTTTTTTTAAAATTTGATTTATATGCCGCCCTTCTCCGGAGACTCAGGGTGGCTTACAATGTGCTAAGCAATAGCCTTCATCCTTTTGTATATTTATACAAAGTCAGCTTATTGCCCCCACAACTGGGTCCTCAATTTACCTACTTTAGAAAGGATGGAAGGCTGAGTCAACCTTGAGCCTGGCGAGATTCGAACCTGCAGTAATTGCAGGCAGCTGGTCTTAATAACAAGGTGTTTTAGACCACTGTACTACCAGGCTCTTTCCTGGTAGGATACTCTTTTGCAGTATCCTTCCCCTGGAATGGGGAGGGAATGGAGATTTTATAGTATCCTTCCCTTGGAGTGGGGTGGGAATGGAGACTTTACAGTATCCTTTCCCTGCCATGCCCACCAAGCCATGCCACGCCCACCAAGCCACATCCATAGAATCGGTAGTAAAAAAATTTTGAAACCCACCACTGGATAGTAAATATACTGGGCGTTCTCAGAAGATCCTAAGGACACAGAAAACCCAACCCTGTCCTTAAAGGATGGAAGAAGAGCAGATGCATTCCCTATCTTCTAGTTTAGCGCTACATTCTTTAGCAACCAACAATAGAGAGAGCCTCCGCAGACATGGAATTCATGCCAAGAACTAAATGAAACTCGATTAAAAATAAAAGAGATTGTTGGAATGTTTGGGTTGGATTTACCCGGTAAATATGGCTACCAGATGCCCTTATTTAGGCTAGCTCTGCAGCCAGTCTCTTCCTGGAATGACACAAAACAGTCATAGCGTGGATGAGCAGATTCCAGATTGTTTCCTGTCTACAAACTCTGTCTTAAAATGAAATTCAAGAATTCCATGCACAGGGTGGGGGTTTCCTCTCCCCACCTTTTTTTTTTTTTTTAAAAAAAGTTTGGATGAAAATCTATCAAAGACAAAAAAGAATGTAAGATTTGGGAGAAATGCTCAGACATGGCGGTAAAGAACTTGTGTTAGACGCCAAACTTGCCCAAGTTTGACCTTCAGCATCACCAAAGAGAACCAGGAAAATTCTGGTCTCATGTCCTGGGGAATTACTCCTTTAGTATAGATACAGCGGGCACAATGACTCAGTGGTTAAAGAAGCTGAGCTTGTCAGCTGGAAAGCTAACAGCCCGGGGTTTGAGACCCAAGAACTGCACAACAGGATGAGCTCCCATTACTTGCCTCAGCTCCTGCCCATCTAGCAGTTCAAAACCATGCAAAGGCAAGTAGATAAATAGGTACCACTTTGATGGGAAGATAACACTATTCCGTGCATCTCGACATATAGTCATGTTGGCCACATGACCACAGAAAATGTCTCTGGACAACGTTGGCTCCTTTGGTTAAGAAACAGAGATGAGCACTGCCCCCTAGAGTCAGACAAGGCTGGGCAAGGGAAAACCTTTATCCTTATCTTAGTGCAGATATTGAGGTAGATAGAACAATGATCTATCTTGGTTTTAAAGCCCTTTCCCATCATCATCATTTCTACTCCACCGTCCCTCAAAAGCAGCCTCAGCTCATCTTCCCTTCTGTTGTCCTGAAAACCGTGAAAACGAAAAGAATACAGGTCCTCGCTTGAGAAAGGACAATTATGATCTTGCATTCCATGCAGAAGGACAGGGAGGATCTCTTGAACCACTGTCCATAATTCATGTTGGATATATCTGCCCGGTCCTAACAGCAAAAGCATCCCATCTAAAAGGCCAAGTCACCTTTCCCCTTTGAGAACCGGAATTCTAAGAATTAGGAGATGGTGTTAGACCAGTCTCTAGAGTGGTGCTGTGGCCTAGAGGCGGAGCTCTCGCCACCACAATCAGAAGGCTGTGAGTTCGATCCTAGGTAGAGGCAGATATTTATCTCTCTGGGCACAATGAGAATTTATTTGCTGAATAAAATTCTGCATTGGCGACAGGAAAGGCATCCAGCCAGTAAACACTCAATTCCATTCAGACTCCACCCCACAAGGGATTATGGGGTCATAAAAAGGAAATGATGATAATGTTAAGCCAGTGTCTCTAAAAATGGGAATCATTGCTCAAAACAGAGCCCCATGCCTGCTTTTTTCCATGTTCAGGGGTGAGTTCTACTTAACTTTACTACCGGTTCGCAGCGGGGCCATGCATGTGCTCTTCTGCACAAGTGCAGAAGCTTCTGCACATGCGCAGAAGCGTTTTGATGACGTTGGGGTCAGTGGGCGGAGCCTCCCGCCGGTTTTACTACCAGTTCTATAGAACCGGTGCAAACCGGGGGGCAACCCACCACTGGTGCAGTTTCAGTGTATTGCGGTTGATGTCGAAAGACATTGATCGGCTCTCAAAACGCTGTTGATCTTGTGCGCTCACACACAAGTCCAGAGAGCTGCTTTGAAACCGATGAAAAATTATCCTGTTGCAAGGAAAAGTTGAATGCATGTACATATTTTATCATGTCTGCAATGACCATCAGCTTTACTGATTCCTACTGGGAGAAGAAAAAGAAAGACAAAATGGGAAAGCTGTCCAGATAAAGGTATACTCTGAACAAGTGGACAGCTTGTGTTACCATAGGTAGAACTCCACTTATGATGTAGGTCAGGTGCACAGGTGGCATTCACTTTCCTTCGCTACCGGTTCGCAAATGTGACCCACCTCCACGCATGCACAGAGCGTCAAAAATGGGACATGATGAGATCCGGGCTGGTGGGCGGAGCCTCCTGCAGCTGCCGCTACCGGTTCGCTAGAACCAGCTAGAACTGGCTAAATACCACCAGTGGTCAGGTGATATGATATTTCTAGGCTCAGCTCTTGGTTGGAAAAAAGGCAGATATAGTTGGTCTCCATTAAACCGGCCACCGTCTTAAATATCTGAATGGGCCGCCTGTACAGAAATCACCAAAGAGATCCCAATTTGAACTGTCCTTCTGCTTCAATCTCAGAAGCCGCTCTGCGGAGAAGAGTACCCGCCAACCCAAAAGATACATGTAAGTGGAAAAAGTCAGTCACCTCTCCTGCTTCTTCATTCTTCATGGGGGGAAAGTGTTTTCTTCCAGAAGCCATTTCTTTTTCTCTTCCTGTTGAGAATTTATATTGTGATGTCACGGAATAGGATCCTTGGAGTGAGAACGATGATGTCATAAAAGAAGAAAGAAGGGGAAATGAAGAGAAAGGCAGGCGGAGTTTTGTGACCTGTTCCCTAATTCTCAGATGAAATCTGTCTTCCAGTTTCCGAAATGTCTTCTCCTTGCCTGCAAAAGAAGCTTCTGTTTTGTTGTGGGGTTCTTTGCCAAGTCCTTTGTGGATGGTTTTGAACTTACCTGTTTTGACCCAGCTCCCCAAACACAACAAACCCTCTGAAGTTAACTCAAAGATTCCTTTATTAGGAGCACCAGCAGCTCCGGCAAAAAGTCTCTCTCACCTTAGGCTAACAAGTCTGTCCGGTAGGGAGATGAATAGTTGTCTGCCACATCGAGTCATCTCCGCCCCCTGCCTTTTATCCCCAGAACTAGGGTGGAGCTTCACTGGCAGCAGTGGCACTTCCTTCCCAAGGATCAGCCCACAGATTTCCACTGCTCTCCTCTCCTCTGCCTTCTGCACATCCATGCATCAGGCACTGGACCCAGCTATTCCTCCTCTTCTTCATCAGCCAACTCCAGACTTTGGGGTTGTTGACTCTCCATCTGAGGGTTGACTGGTGGCCCAGGCTCCGCCTCTCTCTCTCTCTCTCTCTCTCTCTCTCTCTCTCTCTCTCTCTCTCGCCAGCTCCATTCCCTCTTCCCCCTCGGAGCTCTCAGGTTGCCTTGATGCTGACCTTGACTCCCACGCAGTGGCGAAATCCAATTTTTTTTTACTACCAGTTCTGTGGGCGTGGTTTTGTGGACATGGTGTGGTTTTGTGGGCATGGTTTTGTGGGCGTGGCAGGGAAAGGATACTGCAAAATCTCCATTCCCACCCCACTCCAGGGGAAGGATACTGCAAAATCCCCATTCCCTCCCCACTCCTGTTGGAAGGATACTGCAAAATCTCCATTCCCACCCCACTCTGGGGCCAGCCAGAGGTGCTATTTGCCGGTTCTCCGAACTACTCAAAATTTCCGCTACCGGTTCTCCGAACTGCTCAAACTTTCTGTTACCGGTTCTCTAGAACCTGTCAGAACCTGCTGGATTTCACCCCTTCTCCCACACACCCCCTCCTCTGATTCAGCTGCTGGAGGGGCTGGCGGCCGACAGGCCACAACGTTACCTAGTTGTCTTGAGTCAGTGAATAGTATCACCCTTTTCTCTCCTTTTCTCTTACACCCATTTCTGTCTCCTCCTGCCGTCTCCTGGTCAGTTTCTGGATGTTTCATGTTGATGTTTCCACAAACATCTGGAAATGTTTGTGGAAACATCAACATGAGACATGATGTCTTTCTCTGGGATGTCATGGAAGCTTGAGAAGCCATGGAGAACTCATGTTATGACAGCAGGATGATGATACAAAGAATCACCTAGCCATCTTGTCATTAAAGGGACGGGTTCACATAAGATATTCACCCATCACTCAAGATTAAAAACCAGCTATTTTCCCACAGCATTTTATCCTTCTCCTCAAAAAAAAAAAAAAAAAACCTCTACAAAAGCATAAGGGAGCGACTTGGTTCATATCACCTACTCAGCTCAATTGTTGACTATCCAGATTATGTAAATTGTAGAGCAAGGGTGTCAAACTCGATTTCATTGAGGGCTGCATCAGGGTTGTGTTTGACCTCGTGGGGGGGGAGCAAGGTGGGCGTGGCCAGGGTGGGCGTGGCCAGCATGACATCACTCATGTCAGGTGTGTGTGCGCCTGTGATGGTCCGAGCACTTTGCCAGCAAAAACAGGCTCCCAAGCTCTGTTTTCGGTTGAGACAGCCTCCTGCAACCTGCTGCCAGTGAAAACGGAGCTCGGGAGAGCTGCATGCGGCCCTCACAAGCTCCATTTTCACTGGCAGAGGCACTGGGAGCCGGTCATTCACTGTTTTCAGGGCGGCCCTGCAGGCCAGATCTAAGCACCCCGTGGGCTGAATCCAGCCCCCGGGCCTTGAGTTTGACACCCCTGTTGTAGAGCTTTAGACTGCATAGATCAGTGGTGGGTTGCCCCCGGTTCGGACCGGTTCGCAAGAACCGGTAGTAAAAACCGGCAGGAGGCCACGCCCACCATCCTGGATGTTGTCATCAGCGATCTGTGCATGCACAGAAGCAAGGCACGTGATCCCATTGCAAACTGGTGGTAAAGATAAGTAGAACCCACCCCTGGCATAGATGGATTGTTTTGGTAGCTTACTACCAATGGTATCGCTGAAGGCTGTGAGGAGGATCCGTCTCTGGCTGGGTGACAGTCCTAAGGATGCTAAATGCTATTGATGGATCAGTTCAAAGCCTCCTCTGGCGTATGCCAGGGCCAAGCAGATGCCTCTGGGAAGCTAAGCATGAAAGAAATTGCCCTCCAGCAGCTGTTGCTACATGGCATCCTGCCTTTGATGTTGAAGGATCCATATAGTCATTAGCTGATCTGGCGGCCTTGTCTTCCATAAATCTGCTAATCCTCTTTTCAAGGTAGGCAGCGCCTCATCGGTGCAGCATTACTCAAAAGTGAGTTTCACACAGTCAATATATGAAGAAATAGTGTCTCAAGCATTATGAGAAAGAGGAGAGCCATGTTAAAAAGTATTCAGTTTCTTCCTTTTCCTTGATTTTAAGGGTTAATCAGTGGTGATATTTAGCCGGTTCTATCCGGTTCGGGTAAACCAGTAGCGGTGGTGGCAGGAGGCTCCGCCCACCCACCTGGACATCATTACATCCCATTTTTTATGCTCTGCAAATGCGCAGAAGGTCTTGCCCATGTGTGGAGATGGCGCGCGAGAGTGCGTTCATATTTGCGAACTGGTAGCGAAGGTAAGTGAATGGCACCACTGGTATTAATCTGTCCCTTGCTGCACATTTATTTTATCGATGGCTAGCCAATAAAAACAGAAGTTAGAAATATGGAAAAATCAGAGAAGGATTAATTTCATAAGGAAGGTTTATTAAAATGGATAAGCAAATATTATTATTATTATGAGACCAATACCAATGTGATGAAGACTATTGTAAATATTATGATTATTTCTCAAAATTATTCATACGTAGACAACACTGTTTGTTTAGAAATGGAATTGTTTATATGTAATAAAATTTTTAAAAAAAGAGAGAGAAAGAAAGAAAGAAAGAAAGAGGAGAAACACTTTATCCAACACTTTTCATTAGGTGCATAATGTTTTTATATTTTCCACTTGCTTTCCCTTTGTGGCTTTTTTTCCCCCTATTTTTTTTAAAAAGCCTATATAAAACAGTCTTTTCTCACAGGGAGAGTGAGAGCTCTTAATTTTTGATTATTTTATCCTTTTCTTTTTTGTAGAGTTTGTGTTCAAAAATAGGAAAAGGGAGCAAGGAAATTAAAAAAATCTCTTGCTGTTCTATCCAACAAGTTGTAGTGCACTGGTAAGAAACATATGGATCTGAACTTAGGCAGGAAAAACCCCAATGCACAACTACAGGATGGGCAGTAGCAATAATAGCATGTAGATTTATATACCACTTCACCGTGTGTTGCCTCCCCCACCCTGTGCCCCATTTTGAGCCTGGTAGGCCTCCCTGCACTTATCTGGGAGCCAAAATGGGGCATGTGGGGACTCCTGGAACAGGTGGGGAGGGACCAGCCAGCAATTTAACTACTGGTTTGCCCAAACCAGCCCGAACCGGCTGAATCCCATATCGCTCTGTACTGCACTAGTAAGACCACACCTGGAAAACCGCATCCAGTTCGGTCACCATGATACAAACAAGCAAAAAAGCGCTGAATCCCAGAAGGAGTGTGGAGAAGTGCAACAAAGATCAGGAGTCTTGGAGGCTAAACCTTACAATGAATGATTGAATTAGGTAGTTTAATCTAATGAAGAGAAGACATAGGGGTGATATGATAGCAGTCTTCCAATTCTGTAACAAGGTGTTGTGGCTCTGTTACCTGACCCTGTGTCATCGGCAGGAGAGGACTCCGAGAGTGAAGAAGAGGAGTTGGTAAGGCCTCCCTCTCCAGGACCTTCCTCTCTGGCAATGCCTTCGGTGTCCGCTGAAGGGCAAGAGATAGGGCCAGGGCCAAGCACGTCCACGCAGCTACAGATGGACAGTGATGAGGGTAATGAGTCTTGGCTGGATCCACGCCAGCATCGCAGAGATAAGCGCGCGCAACAGAAGAAAAGGCGTGCCCGAGATTAGGCTGAGTCACTGGACCACACCCCACAGGATATAAAAGGGAGCGTGGTGGCCAGTCAAACCTTGTGACAAACAAAGCTGAAAGCTTCCACGCCATTCTGCATTGCCGGACTTTTGCTATAGACTTTGCTGGATTATCTCTGGACTTGATTGACTCTGTAATTATTGAGCTGTTTCTTTTGATGTACCAGAAGTAGGGAGAAGTTATCTCTCCTCTTCGTAAGTAATAAACTCTTGGCAGGCAGCCACCAGGTTGTTGTCAAGTTCCGTTATCATAAGGAAAAGGATTTTGTCGGCTGGTTTAGTCTTTAACTCTTGAACGTCTGTTGGTGTGTGTGCGTGTGGGACGGGGACAGAACACAAGGAAGAGGGTATTGATTTATTCTCCATAGCACTTGAGGGCAGAATAAGAAGCAATGGAGAGAATAGCAATAGCGCTTAAGACTTATATACCGCTTTACAGTGTTTTTACAGCCCTCTAAGCGGTTTACAGAGTCAGCCTATTGCCCCCAACAATCTGGGTCCTCATTTTACCGACCTCGGAAGGATGAAAAGCCAAGTCAACCTTGAGCCTGGTGAGATTCGATCTGCCAAATTGCAGGCAGCCGGCAGTCAGCAGAAGTAGCCTGCAGTACTGCACTCTAACCACTGCACCCTGGCAGCTGTCAAAGAAAGATCCAACCTAGAACCCCCTTGGTAAAGGGGTTGGACTAGAAGACCTTAAAGATCCTTTCCAGTCTTACAATTTTATGACACATGGCTTTTGTAGCAGGAAACCAGGATTTCCCATGAAGCACAAGGTTAGC